AAGACCGAATGAAATGTCCGACACGGAGGGAAAAAAGGAAAAGAAAAAAAAGAAAAACGTGTTATATTCCACCTGACAAAATATTGAGCTTATTCGACTCACTTAAATCCTCTGCCAATTTGCCAGTGTCACTCACAACATGTTGCCCACATTACAATCTCACCGAAACAGAGGGGTTGATAAAAATGAAATTTTTTTCCTCACTGATAAACAAACACATGACCGCTGTTAAATTTAAAACGACCAATTAGCATAAAAATTTTACTATTCAATGAACATATTATTCAATTAAAATCATAGCAACAAAACATGCGTACTAATTAACCCGCACCGCAGGAGGAATTTAATGCTTCAATGAAACTGGAAGCTTGTTAACGCCCGCACCCGGTGGTGATCACACGAAATCACGTGTTTACTGCAAGTTCTACACATAAGCATACAAATGTACAGATTCTGGGGGAAATTGAAGCGTGTGTCAGGTGCAGATTATCAACCAAGGGGAATAATCATTTCTCAATTATATGTCCAACGTGTGTGTGTGTGTGTGTGTTCAATGAAAATTAAACAAAATCGATAAATTGTTGTTAAATGAAAATAAATCTCAAAAAGGAGAAGATAATACAACAGATACCAGACAGAGGTTCTCTACAGAGGTTTGACTTTTCAATTCTCTCCACTACAGCAGTCAATGTCGTACAAGAATTGTACGGAAAACCTGAGAGAGCCAAGCTTAATATCAACGACGAGGGAATGCCATGCGTCTCATGCTGAAGAAGGATAATAAACGAGCTTTTACGATCACAAACGGGCCACTACACAGACGTGTCGTTTGTTTTTCCACAATATTACTATTACTATATTTCATTTCTCTTTTTGGCTTTCTCCGTCTAGCTTTTCACATCGTCCTCTCTCGTCGTCAGCGGCACTATCCTCTCGACTCTTATGGTCCTCTTGTATTTCTATCTATTCTCATTTTCATTGAAATCGAATATTTCGTTGGTCGAGTGGTCTGCTCATACGTTCCTCCCCACATGTCCACTCCAATAATGGATTTTCTCTTTTTCATTAAAGTGCACAGGCGCCAAAATATATTGAAGAATTCATTTATTATTAAAATTGGAGGGACTAGCTGAACGACATGTAAATATTTGTAAAAACATACTTTCATCGTTAGACAAGATGTGAATGGTTTTTTTGCCACCCGAGTGCAGGAGTGGCTGTCGAAATATAGTGCAGATGATTATGAGGATGATTTTCCAATGAGGGCTTCGTTACTGAATTGTTTGCAAGGGTCGGAAAGATGATGAGAGTGGCAAATGTCCTCGAGTAAGAGACATACAATGTCTAGAATGCATGTCTTAATGTCTTAATTTGTCAAACTCAAAAATTACCAAAATTTTTCATCATTTCAAACTGGCTTTTGTAGTGTTTCATTCGGAATTTTGACGATTCCCATTTCTCAAATGAAACTCCAATCATACTCTCGTGTGAAGTGTGTTCAAAATAAAAATAATCCCCCGTAAGTTGGAGAGAGTAACGAGAAGTGCGACACGAGAGGTACTCCAGAAGAATAAATAGAATAGTAGCATTGGAATATCACTAGATGCCTTTCCTCGATCGTTGTCATGGATATGTACCTGTAGCTCACCAATGACTCAAGGAGCCTTTGTCCCTCGTTTCCCTCACCACTTTTTGCACTCTCTTGTTCCTTCAACATCTCTCGAGGATTCACTCTGGAAGACAGAGGCTAAAGTGCGTTTTATTCTCCCTCCCCCTCCTCTTTTCTATTATCTCTTCTCCGTGTCAAGTCTCCATGTACTTGACAATGCACGGAGGTTCAACTGTGTGATATCTTTCCCGGTAAATCATAAAATGCTCTTCAGTGGCGCACGCGTCCACTCGGAGTTCGCGTGGCCACTCTAGTGGGGACACAAGTGTCTCTGTGGCTCGATAAGTAAAAAAAAAGAAGATGTAAAAACAAGTGTGGATTCTAGATATTTGATCATTCCACATGTATTTGTAGAAAATAATTCAAAATTTATAGAGAGTTGACTAGTCGTAGTACTTTTTTCAGGAGGCTGCCATTGAATTCCAGTTAAGAGGGAAAAAATTGAGAAAATTTCAAACTTCACTGCAAGTTTAACGAGAGAGACCATATTGAAGAAAAGAAAATCAAGAAAAATACGAAAGATAAAATCTCAGATTGTGACTGCACATTTGTGATAATCCCAAGTGGAATATCATCGGTTTACCGATGTCACCGCTAGCGAGGAGATATGAGTACTGACGGTATGACGATTAGGCACCGGTACAAATCTGGAGAGCCTCTACTCTGCCAAGTCTCTAATTACTTTAGTTTTAATACCCCCTAGGCGTTATCGTCACAACCAACTCTACATTCTACATTCTCACACTTTTACATCTCTATATACTCTATATACTCTCTACTTTGGATCCTCTCCCATTTTTCTGTTCTGAGTACCGCTGATGTCAAAGATTTATCATTGTGTGATGAAGTAAATTGGCGTAAAATTATCCCTTTGATGTTGTTACCATCATTGTTATTACTATACAAAATGGCATTTTTCTTGAAAAGACCATCTCCCTTTAATTGAATCTCATGAGTATTCCCTTTTCCCTCCACTGATATGGATATATAAAAAATGAAATTGAAATAAATTTAACACAAGCGTCGCTGAATAAAAATTCATTCAATTCAAATAACTACTTTCTTTTCATCATGAAATAGTATAAAATGGCGAAACAGGGGTGGGTGCAACGCTATGAAATAGGTCAAGTAGTACAGATTGCCAAAAAAAAGGAGCGATGCTGAATCACAATGTGACTATCACTAAAAACCAATTTCCATTTATAACTGTCTTCAAAGGGTTTCAATCAAAAAGAAGAAAAATTATTCCACCGTGAATTCTTCATTCCCTATTATTATTTTCCTTTTATTCATTTTTATTCCCTCTCCCGTCCTTTTATCATTTCCAACGGAAATTGATAGGAAAAGACGCCGGAGCCAGAATGAATATTGAATTCGGTTGGAAGACCCTGGGTATGGAAAATGGTGATGGTGGGGAAGGTTATACCGGAGGGCACGGCATTTTCCAGAAATATATAGAATTTGAATATAAACGCGCAAGACGACTGCTGCAGCAAAGACGAATTGGAGATGACACACGTTGCCGTGAGCAACAAGAATCCATCAGTGGGTATTATTTATTTTAGCCGCATATATATGAGAGATTTTTTTTCTCTGATGACATGCAATAGTGACTTTTGCACTGGAAAAACTAGTGTCTGAATAAATTAAGAAATTAAGACATGCATTCTAGACATTCTAGATGTTTCACTTGAGGATTTTTTGCCATAACTTGCTTCATTTTGGTTACATTAAAATAGCACTTCTTATGAAGCAGAATTTGAAGCGAGTTTAGAAAACAAAAATCAGTGCCAGTGACTTGCTCTCAAGTTAGGATGCATGTTTAAATTGTTTGGAAACAATTCACTCTTCCTACCCTCTCAATAAATTCAGAAGTTGAATAATTTCTATCGAATAGTTTCTTCTTATGATTCCATGCCTCAGTGGGGTTAATGTCACAAATAACTTGTGACTAAATAGTCTTCAAATTTAATTTTTGTGTCTAATGTCTTAAATGAAGATGTCTTGAAAAAAATATTTTACTAGTTTCTTGGGAGGGATGGGAGGGGATGATGTACACGCGAAGAAGAATAGGTGGTAGGTGGTAAAGTGAGGAAGGTCTCAAGCGTAGCCTTCAACCATAGAGAGAGCCTGTGAGGGAAATTGACGGTTCGATAATCGAAGACGAGGTCTTGGTGGGCCAGTCTACTGACTCTGGTACGTAATTAAATTCCTAGCACGCTCCACGTCTCTCGCCTTCGAAAAGGAGAGCACCTTCTTTGCTACGAATACTTGAGTTACGCCCCATGTCCAACATTTTTACCGATTTAATGCACTGACAAGAGCACTGAGAGCGTCAAAGGATATTAATATCTCGCTACAAAGAAGAACGAGTGGGAAAAACAAGTGGAAAGAGAATTTTTATTCCAAAAAACAACACAAGTCGTTGGATTCAATCTAGTTTAGAAGCGTCTTCTCATTTCTCCGAGTCTTTCAGATATAATTAAAATGACATGATATATAAAAAAATTGAAAAATTATACAATTAAAGTCGCTATAATGACTTCTCCCGACACAATCATGTTCTTTGTTTTTGCCATATGTAGTCAATGGACATATACAATCGAGGAATTCAATGTAAGTATCCGCTAACGAAGCAGATCCCTGTGTACACGCACGCGTTTATGCTCCGAGTAATCGAAAAAAATAGAGAGAAGGGTTGATTAATGGACTCGTTGTTGGTTAAATGTCTAGGTGGTGAGGAATTCAGCCGAGAGCAAGTAAGATGGGACTGTGAGGGTGAAAAAAAAAGAAGAACAAAAGGTGGCTTGAAAAAGAGGGAGGAAAGAAGTAGCAACGCTACAACAGCGGATATGCTCGCGCGAATACGGTCGATTAATTGCGGCCACCGAGTCTACTCTTATATACAATATGTATATACCCCTTTTACAGCTTCTCTGCATCCCTCTTGTGCCTCGACAAGGCGGTTATTGCATGGCTTGTTGCTTAAACGATCCTGGATAAATCCTGGGTGAAAAATATCCAGGGCTCCAAGCCCTCCGTTTATTCCGTTTTCAATTTTTTTCTTTTCTCTATGGTCATTACTGGTGCTGTTCATTCTCATTCCATTTGGAAATGGATTTTTTTTTTGGTAAAATAAAAAATTAGAAAACCGACTTTTCGTACCAGGCTATGGTGAGAATGGTGAAAAATTTCTTATCATCATTCAATCGGAATCGAGAGATTCCACTGAGTGTTTAATAGAGTAATTGATTAAATCAACATTTTTACAAATGAGTTGTCCTGCTCTTTCAATGTGAATTAATCAACATTACCTTTTTAATTGTTTCAGAAACGAGGCAGCTATCGTCAAATCACCCAGGAAATCACTGTTTCATGCGGACGATAATAAAAAATATAAGAAAAGAACAATAGGAAAGTCTAGCAGTTCATCGATTCTAATTGACAGGTCACGAAATGGTGCTGGGGTGATAGCAAGAAAAATAACGCGAAAAGGGTGGGGGCGTGAGGCGTTTAAATTTACGATTGTACCCACTGTTACTGTTGTTAGTATCAAGGGAAATGCCCACGAGTCATGGATGTTCTCGAGACACGGTAGAGCACTACCATCCCCTCTTGTACAGCGTAACGGATGGCCTTGTATTCTCTCTCGATATCGTGTGATACTGTGATTACCCGAGTCCCTATTGTCGTCTCAAATAACATATCAATAATTTTTCTCTACTACTTTTCAAATCTCAATCAGTAGAGTGAAGTTGACACACTCATGTAGAGGCAAATAAAAACAAAATAATAATAACAGTAGCGATTCCATCTAAAAGTGTGTGAGAGAGAGAGAGAGAGAGAGAGAGGTGAGGAAAAAGCTCATACTGTAAATAATGCTTACCGGCCAGATGGGTTAAGCACAGTGGTGACTCGTTTTACACGTTGTAAAATGGCGCCCATGAAACCACAACGACAGCCATTTGAAAATCTTGATGAAGGCCAGGGTCGTTGGCGGTTGAAAATAACTGGAACAAATATAAAACAAGTAATGAATTATCAATTTAAAATTCAAAGAACGTGAATAGAGAGGAAAAGTGAAAATATAATCCATGTATTTTTCTATTTTCATAATGGACGAGTGATTTGTGCAAATTCTGTTGGAAACTCTCAACTGTCAAAAGAATATATTTATCATACCCTTTTCCTATGATTTTACATTGTTTTATTTAAAAAAAAAAAAAAAGAAGCAAAAAAAGAAAAGAAAAAAAAAGGAAAAAAGTATAATAAAAGAAAGCAAGAGGAAATGGATGTGGATGATGGGGGATGGGGAGGGGTTGGTGTGTCGTTCACGAGCGATCCAAGAGGCCCATGTTACGCCTCGTTGGAGTCATTGATGCCCCAGTGCACCAACACCAGTGAAAATCAGTGAGGCGAACTGGGTTGGTACCTGACAGACTTACGACAAGAGGAATCGAGTTGAAGGAGAAAAGTGAAGAGGGTTGAAACGACGAATCTTTTGCACGAGTAAATTGTACACTGCCGGAAGTCAATTTGACGGTGGACTGAGGACAGAGAGATAGTGGAGTTGAATCGAGCCAGGATGAAGATTTCCGGGGTAGAGGCTAGTGTACCCCTTCTAGGTGCTGTTGCACCACGCTGTGTCGTTAAACAGGCAACTGTCAAGCGTTGTGTTGCTGCATTACTCCTCATCTCGGTTGCCAGTATATTTTATTATACTCATTATGTCATCAGCAGTCCATTATCCAGGTAAATGCATTTGACATTATATTTTTCATAATAAATTCATTAAAAAGCCGCCAATACTTTTTTCCATTTCAATAACAATTGTCTTTTACAATTGAAAACATTTGATAAACATCTCCTAAAAGAGTTTATGTGATTTACGTGACGTGTACCACCCTTACGCATGCACAGACATACCGTCTGAGTTTGAAATATTATATCCAACTGCGATCAGGAAAAAAAATCCTTTGCCACGGAACTCCTTCACGCAATCACGTGGAAACATCCCATCGATCGGAGTTATCGAGAAATGAAAAAAATCAACTTGAAGCGTCTACAATGTTACGTGATATTGATATTGAGAAACACTTTTTTCACATTTTCTCTCGGCCATTGGTCTCGCAAAAGACAACTGTTGAATTGAATTAATTAATTTGATGATGTTATGACTGAAAAACACAACTCATCTTGTCTGCCAGTACAACACTGAGTGAGCTTTCGTCTGTTCCTCATTTTTCGCCCCCACTTGAAAATTAGCTTGAACCTGGCAAATACAGTGGAAGTGGGTGGGCCTCGCAGCGAGGAATCCCTCGCGAGTCCATAGCAAAACTTTTAGTTAACAAACTGGTGAATTGAGGTAAGCAGGTCATTTAGGATAACAAGTTGGTCGGCCGGCCCACCGTCGGGCATTCAACTTGGTTCCGCCGAATGCTGGAGAACCCTGATTTTTTCTCTATAGGTATTAATTTTTTTCATGTTTCATTGCCGACAGAAATATTCAATAGAGTGAATGTAATGCCGCTTCAAGATGTTTTAAATTAAGACATTTGACATAAAGATGTTACGCCCGAGTCGAGGGTTTGGTTCTGATTGGACGTACACAGGTCTTTCAAGATCTCTCCAGACCTAGATTGACCTGCTAAGTCCTAATCAGTTCTGCGACGTACTTTTCAGCAAACTTTTCGAATCCTCAGTTCTTTTCGGCCCTGAGAAGTCCTCCTCTATACTACTATACCGAGACCGCGGGATTTCACGAGGGGGTGGAGGGGAAGGTATGTATGCGGAGGCTTGAAATTTGTAGCCAACGAGGAGCCACCCTCATCTTTCCGTTTGCAGGCGGTGTTTAAATCAAAAATAGAGAACGTTGATTCTGTATTTATTAACCTCCTGTTGCCAATGAAACCCACAGAGGCGCGACAAATGTTGAAATAAAAATTTTTTTTTTCACCCGGAGCCAAAGTGTCAGATCTTGGCTTTTCCAGGGGGAAAGTCGACTTTCGTCAAAATCGAATTTTTTAGCCAGGTGAACGTTGATTCCAACTATTTAAGTGACGGGCTATTCAGAACTCTCAAAAGTATGTGGAAAAAGTGAAAACTGAAAAAAAAATTTTTTCACCGGGGGCCGAAGTGTCAGATCTTAGATTTTTTCACGGGGAAAGTCGACTTTCGTCAAAATCGAATTTTTTAGCCAGGTGAACGTTGATTCCAACTATTTAAGTGACGGGCTATGCAGAACTCTCAAAAGTATGTGGAAAAAGTGAAAACTGAAAAAAAAAATTTTTTCACCGGGGGCCGAAGTGTCAGATCTTAGATTTTTTCAGGGGGAAAGTCGACTTTCGCCAAAATCGAATTTTTTAGCCGGATGAACGTTGATTCCAACTATTTAAGTGACGGGCTATTCAGAACTCTCAAAAGTATGTGGAAAAAGTGAAAACTGAAAAAGTGTTTTTTTTCAGATTTTCAAAGGGTCAGATTTTCCGTTTTCCAGGGGGAAAGTCGACTTGCACCAAAATCGAATTTTTTAGCCGGGTGAACGTTGATTCCAACTATTTAAGTGACGGGCTATGCAGAACTCTCAAAAGTATGTGGAAAAAGTGAAAACTGAAAAAAAAATTTTTCCACCGGGGGCCAAAGTGTCAGATCTTGGATTTTTTCAGGGGGAAAGTCGACTTTCGCCAAAAACTAATTTTTTCGCCAAGTGAAGTTTGATTCTGTATTTATTGGCCCTTCTAATGCCAATGAAACCCTCGGAGGCGCCAGAAATGTCGAAATAAAATTTTTTATTTTTACTTGGAACAAGGGTCAGATTTGTTAACAATTTCATTTTTTTATGTAGACAACGCATGCAAGCGGAGGGACAGCCTCCGCATACATGCGTCTCCCCTCGACCCTGTCGTGAAATGTAGATTTTCGAGATTTAAAAAAAACAATAATTGGATTTTTTACCGGTAAGGATTCGGCAAGTCTGAATACAAGTCCTGCTTACACCTAACGAGTGCTGAAATGGGACATAAGCACTTGGTGAGGTAGAAAGGTCGTGGAAGCACTTGGGAAGAGGCTTCCCATGACCTATCCAGTTCTGAACGGAAAGACCTAAGTAGAACTTGTCAGGTCCAACTATTCGACTCGGGACGTAGTACATCTTATCGGTACCGGATTTCGTTATTGGAAAAAAATTAATGGACCATTTGGGTAAACATTAAAAATGACCTAAAAGGGATCAAAATTTTAGTGCTAATAAATGCAAGTTTTCATTGAGAATACATGCAACGATAGAACGCTAGTATTATGGTTTCTCCCGCGGATGGTGAGAATTTCGCAATATGTCGAATTATAATTTTATCAGACCACAATCCAAACATCAAATGGAAATATCTCGAGATAGTTAGACAAATAGTTTACAAACTCTCCGAATGCGTTTATGCGTTTATGTGTGATAGCATCCACTCCGAATCACGATATATGACTGGTGTATATTTCCGGAATGAAACGACTTGGTCCAATTAGAATTCTCAACAAGCTCCTTGATGCACTCCCCAATCTTGGGCCTCGTTATCACCCATAGAGGACTACTGCTACCCATCTACGTACACCGAAAGGGTCTTCAAATGAAGTAGAAGAAGTGGTGGGGGGGAAAGAGAAGGCGATGGCAGGCAGATCTAGAGTATTACTTCCAAAGATCCAGTGGAGGAGTTTGGCGAGTTCATGCTTAATTAGAGAAGACATATAACCCAGAGATCCGTAGATGAGCTTCTCCTTGATGACCCAGTGTGAATTAATCCTAGGGCTGGAGTGAATCAAGAGAGGCGTGCAAACTCGGTCCAGTGATGGATTATTTCCATATAGAACTTCATTGCAAACATTGAATTTTCTCAATTTTTTTTCCATTAAAGACAATACTGAATTATTGTACGATCTAGTTGAATATTTAATTGATGCAAAGGTGCTGAAACTATATATGAGTTATCATTAAGGATCATCATCACCATTAATTAAAAACCGTGTTTTGCTGCTGACGTATCGCTTGAATGAGCAATATTTGTATAGTAAACACGAATTGTGCTATTACCAATCCGTGGGACATGAAATGTCACCGGATGTTTATTGCACGCTCAATCACCGCCAATTCAAAGTCTTGCGCGCGGTGCAAATAATAATCAACCAAACTCCATGGGGAATATCCTCTCTGGTCTGCTTTCAGAAACAATCACTAACATCCAAGCTAATTGGAATGAAAAAAAGCCAAAATTCAATGAAACAAACTACAATATGTAGTAAGATAAAATTGCCAAGTTGGGCACTAGTCCGGCTGCAAACGATAGGCCGCATCAGGCATAGGTTATCACCGCGTTTAAATATTGAAAAATCCATATCATCCCCTACGGGAAAGCTCATCCCCCAAATGACTCTCTTTCCTCTATAAACCGTATATCCCCGAGTAAAAGCTCTTGATTACTCATAGATAGAAATTCAATAATCCGTATGCTCAATCGAATAAACCGTTGTAATTGAATTGCAACGATTGCTGCTGGGATGAAATACTCGGAGAATTTTTCATCTTTCCTGAATAGTAGTGCATCTTCTGTGACTTTGTGAATAAAGATAACGATAATTATAAAAACTAGGCTTTAAAACTAATGTGATTTTGAAATGAAGCGCCTATACACCTTCTACTCACGATCAACTGAAATAATGTATTATCCTAATCTTATTCTTCTTGTCCATCACTTGTGCAAATAACGAACAAACGTGGGAACAAACAGCTAATGTGTCCGTAAAAGGAACTCATGACAATAAAATAGTTACGTGTTGTACCTACATGGTAAATGCATTCAACAGTGAGCAACAGAAATGTTAGTAGCTTCGGTGGATTCATGCAATGTCCAGTGGTGTGCATGCACTCACTCGCGTATTAGTCGATGGACGTGGATGTTTGCGGACGGATGACGAGCTACGGTGCGTTCCTAATCACGCTTCTAATCACACTCAGGCACGAAATTAACCCTCCGTGTGTTGTGTTCAGTATTCAAAGGATCCAAGTACTGCATCAAACATACTCTTAATTAGCCTGCCTGAGCCATCCAAAGTGCTCGCCCGCAAATACAAATGTCTTGTCACTTATCCATTTTATTCCAATTTATTAGAGTTACACAAAGTTTAAGCTCTGCAAATTGTACAATTGAATGTCACTTTATTTATGTCTCATCATAATAGTCAAAGTATTGTTGCGGTGCCTGCGTCGGTAGATATTGATATTCAAAGCTCGTCACGATAGACGAACGATAGAAGTATGTGACTACACACACATGAATGATGAATATACAGTCCAATAACGACCACCATTCCATCCTATATTGATTAGAATTCCAATTATTGGTCTAGAGCTGATTTTTTTGTTGTTGCAATCCTTGGCCATTGTAACAATTATTCTTTTATGCTCTCCTAAATAATTTTTGTAATCTGGGAAAATCCTTGAAACAAGTATCGATAAATGGAAAAACTCCACAATAATGACCCAATAGATAGCCTGCTGATCTTAAGATCAAAGGTCTCACTGCTATCACTGGCATTCATCAGGAGCAACTCGTGTGCATTGAGATTAGCCTCTCTCTAATATCAGAATAGAAAATGGAATAGAAAATTGATTGATCAAATTACTCATATATATATATATATATATTTCTAATAACGATTGCAGTCGCCCATGTCCGAAAAAGATTTCTCCTCCAATATTTGTCTCCTCTCCTATTCCCCCCCCCCCCTGCTCACCATATTCTTTTTACTCCTCAACTTGACTTCCATTCCCGGGGCGACATTGGCCCCCGGATACATCCTCTTGATGAAAAGGGATTTCGTTTTGGTGGCTGAGTACACGAGTAGAGTGGCGCCCAGCAAAAAGCCGCTAGCCAATTTACCCCACAGGCCGAAGGGGTCTGGGTGTATTGTAGATGGCCAAAGGATCGCACCACCAACGACTCATTACAGTGAAGAACGAAAAGCCCGAGAAATTTGCCATAGAGAGGCGAAAAAAGGTGGTAGAGAAGGGAAATACTCCATTGTATAATAATGTTGAATGAAAGAACTATTATTGTTGTGCCATTGGCAAGTGTAACAACATACTCATAAAGAAAATTCCCAGTGAAATGAATTGCATATAAAGTTTGCTTGGAGAATGTGTAAAATATTAAAGGGCACAAAGACCCCTTCCAGCACGCAACACTTCCGTGTACAGTTGATAATATCCGAGGACAAGAGTCTCGCTTTGTACTCGCCGCTTATAAGCTGTACTCGCGATTGTTGGATGATAATCGTAATACAATACAATATAAAATGGAAAGAGAAATGGATGTAGTATCGCTCCGTCTTTTTTATTCATTCAACTTGGTTTTGTCCCAGATAGAGAACAATATATGTCTCCATCGCACGAAGATGCGTGCGTATTATTCGTTGTAATATTCAAACGCATTGGGGAACGCGTGAGTCAACTTTGAGTCATCATTTATATTCACAGCACACTGTGAAAACTAGTGTTTTCAAGATGTTAAGTCTTGATTTAAGATATTGGACAGAGAAATGTGTGTCTCAAGAGCCTGACACTTTTCAAGTAAAAAATTTTCTAAATAATTCGAGAGCTTCTTCTTCATACAAAAATACAAAATGTTTGCAAGTTTGTCCGTTCTCTGAATAGACATCTCAGTAAACAGGGATTTGAGTTAACGTGTGTCAACCAAATACCCCTGTATATAAAGGGAAATGCCATCCGGGAGGGGGGGTCACATTATCCAACTGAGCTGGACATTCGTCCTACATGCTCTTTGATGATATTTCTGTCCTCGGAAATGTGCTGGATAACGATATGAAAAAAGCATAGGAAAAAACGGATGTAAATCATAGAACAACCTTTGAAATCCCATGAAATTTCATATAGTATATGTATAACACAGATACGGCTCGGAAATTAAAATACAAAAACCCTCGGCTGATGATGAAAACCAGTGAAAGCAACGAAATTATAAAAACGGCTTTGACTTTGTACTCGTTGAAATAATTTGAATTTTATGTTTCTTTTTTGTTTAACTATGGTAAAATAAAGCCGACATTTGAATGAGACTCCAATGAGATTTCAATGGAAAACTAATGAATTTCATGTATTATAAAAATGATTTTCTTTAAAAAATTGTCTAGACAGTGAAACAAAAATAAAACAACATATTTATAAATGAGGAGAGAATAAAAGCCGCGTTATCGAGGTGTTCATATAACTGATGAGCCACCGGAGCTCAAGCTGTATAGATAAATGGAGCGTCGACGAGTTATCGGCCCAGGCTCCATTTCTCAAGGATCGAGACCGCTACCAGTGCTTTTCTCCTCCTCCCGTGTATGCCAGATCATTTTTATTATCGCTCAACTCCCTTACATCACTCGTGCTCCACTCATTGGTTCAATATATCGATTAGTCGGCTCGTCGGCCGTACACGGTTGCCAGATAAAGATAAAGATAGGGGGTAGGGGTGACGATAAAACTCGCTTATATCCCGATGTACATCCATCAATTTTTAACCATAATACCACCCTCAACACACTACCGTCAACCGCATCATGCTTAATCATTGTCTCGAGTGCTACATATAGTCAGTCGCGGCTGGATAGAAAGGGGATTTTAAAAAAACCAGTGAATTCAAGTGAGGGTTCTCTGCTGCCGCCGCCGCTCAACTATCGATAAATAGTCTTTCAAGACTTGGTAATATATATATATAAATGGTTTACTGGTTTGTGTGCTTGCTTGCAGCCTCATTCACCGTGACACGAGACCAGAGCCATCGATAAGGTGTTCAACCCTGAGGGGAGCCACGAGACTGCCGGCAGCCCCAGATCATCGAAGCGAAGCCAGACTTAGAATCGATCCCAAGGTTTTGGTTTTCGTTGAGACATTGTATTCCCGAGTTGGAAGAGAAATAGCTGAATTGCTTGTCTACAATAGGATCAAGTATGTATAATTTTATTATAATGTATATCGTTAATAAAAGAGCTAGGGAGGGCTTCATTAAAAAAAATAAGACGTTTGTTTGAAATATACAAGTCATCTGATGACATGAAACTGAAACTAGCAAAATATTCACCAGTGAAAAATTCAATTGAGGGGATATTTAAGGGTTTAAGTTAATAAATTTATATTCCATATATAGCATTCATCAATGAAGATGAAAGAAATTGGTGACAGATAGACATGAGTAATCACGAATAAAGGAAGAGCGCGTGGAGTCGAAATTAAATTGCCTGACAGAAGTCGATCGCATTTTCATCTCCTCTTCGACAAGGAGATTGGAATAAAAGAGCCATCAAGAGAACAGAGTGGTTGGAGAAAGAGGAGGTGAAGGGTGTGTGTGTGTGTGTGTGTGTTCGAGAGAGAGAGATGGAAAAGTTGGGAAAGCGACCCGGAAACGTCAGAAGCTAATCATCGGTTCATTAAGATAATCACCGGTGCCTGAATAAATTTCAAATTTCAAACCCATATGATTTGACTCCTTTTTTATCGCACGCACACACACTTTATTTACGGCTTAATCCACTTATTTTCACATCACCCCATTGACCTTTTGTATTTCTCTCCTGTGGCATGAAAATTGATTATTCTACGAATAATTATACGGATTTATTAAATCTCGTGCATGCGCTCGATAGATGTATTCATTATCTTCATTGAATTTTCGATAACACGAAATCAACGGGACACAGAATGAGTGCAATCACGCACACTCCCCCTATGATAATCAATTTTCAATAATAATTACTCCTCCTCACTCAATGATCTGCGTGCCACGTCCTAGTGAGAAAATGAGGAAAAAGGGCCTATTGTTGGCCGTCTTTTACGCCTCCTCCACCGGCTTTCCATTTTGTGAGAAAAATTGGTAGAAAAAAAAACGTCAATGCATATCATTACCTCAGTAGAGATAAAGAAATGAATTTACCAAAAGCGAACGGGAACAAGTGGTCTCTGGCAAATGAGCATTTGTTCAATTCTGCACTTGTTTTTCATTTCATAAACGCCGCAATTAAATTATGTCCATAGCAAAACTCAGACACTTTATTCACTGCAGTGATATCACATGGCTGGCTTCATTAATTTAATTTATTCCATTCATCGCCAGTACCAAAAGAGCAACTTTTCCACACACTTCGAAACAAAAAAACCTATTTAATTGTCGTAATGGCGGTCATTTGATATTTTCCATCTCTTACTTCATTTTGCCAAAGTATTTGGCTGTGAGCATTAAAATTATTGTCTAGTTGAAAAGTTAGACAACAGCCATCAGATTTGTAGGTTTCCAACTTCCTGAGGGTGCACCATTGATGACAAAGGACAGAAGGCAACTCTCACCGCAGTTAATCCCTCTGCCCTCTGGTGTGCTTATTGTTCCGGGCAAGAATAGTAGGTTTTCAATGAAATACAGAGTGCAACCACAAACTTTTTACGAGTTCAGTGGAGTTGATCAACATTTAGAAATTCACTCAATTGCTTGATAGAAATAATCAGGAACAATCTTCAGACAAAAGTATTCCAGACAGAGTTGACAAAGTAGGTGACAGAAGAATAGATAGAAGAGATGAGAGGTTGAAAATCCAGTGAAGAGATCTAGCATTTCAGACATCTTCCCGATAGTTGAATAAGCCCCGTCCATTGTCTTCCCCTTGACTTTTTTGTGGAATATATCAGAATCACATAAACTTTTCACATGTGCCACTGAATTTTTAAAGCCTCTCTCCACATATATTCACTTCCAGTTTTGCTCAAGTGCAAAAGTGAAAGGCGAGACGGCTCAGAATAAAAATGCATTATGTCACGAGCAGAAAATCATGTCAAAAAAAACAAAAAAATGCTCGAAGAATCTGAAAAGAAAAAGGAAAGAAGGGCATTGTTAAAAGTTGAAATTGTCAAAGCCACGAGAGCCCGAACTCGAATGTGAAAAGGGCCTTTGGATCTCGAGAGTCTCTAGGGGCACACCACAAGGGAGATAAATAAGAAAAAACCGGAAATACCCCACCCAAGCCAATATCACCACGTACCCACTCTACTCTTTTGGGTTAGAGACAACTTCCAATTCCATCTAGAAACTGGTGCGAGTGCTCAAGAGATAAAGAGCACAGAGCCAAAAGTAGAGTCTCTCTTGTTGCCCCCGTTCGACATATCCTCCCTAGAGGCGGAGGCTCCTCCGCCGATCAGCTTGGAACAATCTCTTTTTTTGCCCAGTGCAAACGTACAAACGAAATGTTTTCCAATTTTACAAATTGTAGTGCTCTTTGTCGTCCCATTTCTTCCCTGGTATCACTCAATTATCAATCGCCAGTATATTAGAAAGAAATTAATGTCTCAACACTAATTGTAAAAAAAAAATGGTCGATTAATGTCTTCTCGTAGTCTCTCAAAGTGTCTTGAGTTGAGATAGTCGAGATGTCTTAACTCAAACATCTTTTTTTTGGAGGGAAAAAACGCCTTGAAAAGACTTATTTTTCCAGTGTGCAATAACTTGAGAAATCAAGTTATTCCCTTCATGATGACATATTTTACCTACAAACAACCGAAAGGGTTAATAGGAAAATTCAACAATTCCCTAACAGCGGAAGCGAATAAGCAGACAAGCAATACCAGAGAGTCTCTGTATATATTTTAGCTCAAAGGGCTGATGGCTAATGCTGATCCGCGCAGTACGTAGTAAACCAGGGCAAAGACACAACATGTCCTTCATGAATAATTCGCGTCTGAAATTAACAACGCTGATCTATCTCAAAGAGTGTTTTAGCAACATGGCTTGTGGCACAAGCGACATAAACCTCATCGAAATTCGTTCTGACCTTTCGGAGTGGTTCCTTCCGGTGATGGCACGTCCAAATAATCTTTGACCATGAAAAATTGTCTACAAACTCACACAAGCCATTGAATGTTTAAATATCTCATTGCCTTTGAGACCACGAACAATCGACATCCATTGCATTATGAAAAGCAAAGTGCGCATGAAAATATCCTCAATACTTTATCAATAGATCCACTCACAATGAGAACCCCTAAAGATGAGCATTAAGCCCTTGATTGGGATTTATCTTTCCATTTTACAAGATTGCCTTCACTACAGAAAATGATGACAAGATAAGACGCTGTATTGATCGTATAGCCTCATCGCATCGTATGAAGCGTCATGTAATGTAAGTCCCAAGGGATATATATATATATATATATATGTGTGTACCTCTACGTGACTTGAATTCGAATAATACTAGGAGAGAAAGAAGTGGGTGAAGTATAGCATGAGAAACGGAAAAAAAATTACACCAAAGGAGTGTCAAGTCCAGAAGCATTGAGGGATTTAAACTATACATCAAGGATAAATTCATTCTGTCTCCCTTGTTTCAATTTTTTTCACCAATAATAATTCAAAATAGTAGAATGAAAATTTTGGCTTATTTGTTGAACTCGCGAGAGAGAGAGAGAGAGAGAGAGAGAGAGTATACTTTATACCTTCATTTTTATCATGACAAAACGCCACTGCGACAGAATGCCAGCGCAGCTGCTCCAAAGGACCTTTTCAAATTATATTCCATATCTTCTTCTACTGGATACACGTATTATAAAACAGCGAATGGATCTTGCGCGGTAACACTCGACAAAAGAATACGGCAATCTTTTTTACTCAGTCAGTGATTTCTCTTCCACTCGTTGGCTTTTCATTCTTTTTTCAACTGATCTTTCACAGAGTGCGATTATAATCTTTTACAATTGAACATTTTTCCCAAATGAATACTTTAAAATCCTCCACTTTGCCTTTTAAAAAAATGAAATACTTGGTATATTCAAATGAAATTAAATCAACATACTTTATAGAGTGAGTAATAAAACCCCTCTTGGATAGTATACATACCTCCAAAAATAGAAGAAAAAAAAAACATATTCACCCATCGGAGTAAAAAAATCATGAAAAAAAATCACTGGGCTTTGCCAGATGTTCGCTGTCTGGTCAAGCGGCCTAGCGGGATTTGATTCGCAAATTCCATTTCCAAAATACTCTCTACAAACAAATGAAAAAAAAAAAAAATAAAGAAAAAAGCTGAAAGTTGGAAAAAAATCCTAGAACGAGAATTGTAAGCATACAGGATGGAGGGAGAGAAGGAGAAAAAAATAGCAAAATAGAATGCCGAGAGAGCCGAGTGGTTCGTTGGTTCACGTCGCGGGTGTTATTATTAAAAAAGCCTTTTGCATCACACGATAGTTCGATGTGAAAGAGAGAGAAAGTGCAAAATAGGGATTTTTTCCATACTCATACTAGACTGGATCAGATGGTTTTTGGGGTCGAGTATATATTATATATAACGCTTGAACACTCGATGGAAATAATAATGTAGGTGTACCTATGGCACATCAAACGAAGAACAAAATTGCGAATGACATGTTAGATAGGCAAAGGGATGGATGAAGGGGGCAAGAGAGGGATGATATTATTGTATAAAACACGTACAACGATGGGGCTGTCAACGTAAACAAGGCTTCATTCAGTGGAATACCAAATAAAAGCAGCTTTAGAGTTATCTCGTCGGGAGGAATTTATTTTTCTTTTTTCACCCAGTCTGTTTCTCCCCTTGTTGATTACTTAATTAATACTGGTGACTAGTGCCTCAGTTTTCCCACCTGCCGATCAGAATTATTATCTCTGGGGTGTTGTTTTATCTGTATCGTTGAAAGTTACCCCAGTGAGATAGATGACTTTATTTGAATATTGCTCACAGCGTTGATGAAACAGAGCTTAATTGATAAATTTATTTTTCATTTACGAATATTATTGAAAAAAGAAAATGATAAGAATAAATAAATAATAATTTGATTGCTGTTGCAGATACAAAGTGGAAGTAACTGGAAAATCATTACCAGTCCTGACGAATCTGGATAAAGGAAGATATGGCGTACTAGTGTTTGAGAACATCAACAAATATTTACAGATGGACAAGTGGAATCGAGAATTGCTCGACAAATACTGTCGTGAATACTCGGTTGGTATTGTTGGATTTGCTCCACCGGGTGAAGAAAGTCTCGTTGGAGCTCAACTCAAGGGTTTCCCATTATTCATTCACACAAACTTAAGACTCAAGGTAAAGAAAATTTTTATGAAGCGAGGGGATTTCGATCCCTCAGAGATAAAATGGCTTATTTCCCAGTAAGCGGTAGATGCTGCTCAAGGTCAAAAGGCCACGGCCCCATTTTCGAGATTGCTTTTTCCCTTTAAAAAGTTTGTAGTTTTTAAGGCCTCTAGCCCTTTCTCCGATTCACCCGTGCATGCTCCCACTCCCAGATTTGTATTCATGGCGCGTACTTTTGTTCAACAGAAAGTAAGATGAACCTTTTTACATCTACTTTTTTCCTCTCTTTTCCTGTTTTTTTTGTTTTCACCTTTCTTTTTCCTCCCTTCACAGCATCAATTCTTTTTGTTTAAATCGTTAGGATGCACAGCTGAACGCCGCCTCACCCATCCTGAGGTTGACCAGATCCGGGGAGACGGCCTGGGGGCCGTTACCTGGAGGCGACTGGACCATTTTTCAACCAAACCACAGCACGTATGAGCCACTGGCATGGGCGTACCGAGACACTCTGGATTATACTAGCCAAAAGACACCACTTGCCACTGTTATTCAGGTAACAAGGGGAAATTTTATCAACAAAATTGCCGAATATCCCTCAATTTTGAGAGAAAAACAAAAACAAAAACAAAAGCGGGACTAGTATATGATTTTCCACATAAATTGAAATATTTATTAACAATTAAATATTCCGAGGGCAAGATAAACAACACAAACAATGCTGCATTCTCCTTCAGAACGAATCAGTCCATGCACAAAAGGAAGCAACCTGACAGCTTATTCACAAAGATGAAGGAATAATTATCGAAAATTTCACTAGATACAGCAAATGAAAATCTTCCAGCGTCAACATTGAAATTTAATTCCATAAGTCTCGTGGAATAATGCAGTTGAAAAGTTTTTAGAGCGAATGAGTAAAAGAAAAAAGAAAAAAAAACCTAGACTGTTCAATTGCCTCGAGATCTGCTCGTACGAGTCCAGGCTAACATCGTAGTCATAGAATGGAAGAAAATGGGTGGTAAACAGCGTTGTAGGTAGTACTCGTACGCGTTGAGCGTAGAAATAGAAAGCAGGGAGGGTGAGAAGATAGTGTGAAAGAAGAACCAAAACAATTCGCAAAGCTATTGTGACCCCTCTGCATTTATACATTGGGGAAGGAATTTTAGTAATGGCAAAATTCTTCTCCTCCCCCCGCCGCCAAGGAGATAAATTGAAGGGAGAATAATAATGTGCTTTTCCAACATGAATGAAACACATAAAACTGGAGCAAAATACCAAAGAAATTACGGAGGGCGGCACTGTTTTCTCTTACCCGCATCATTTTTTCATGAAACGGACAATAAAATTGATGAAAACTTGTTGATTCCCCCACGGATTAAATTAAATTGATAAAGAGTGACAAACACAATTTCACCTGCAACACTTGACAGGTGACCTCAATTAATGAGATTATAAGGGGGGAAATTATTATTGTTGCTTACTGCTAACAAGCTCACTCGCTCGATGAAAATGGTGATGGGGATTTGAGTTTTTTGTTAGTGGTTAGCGATGTAATTAACGAATCCCATTATTGCGTATTATCCATCTAATCCCGACGTAATAATAAATTTGACCCACCCATTAATTGCCTAATAATGAAATTTTTACTTATTTTCGTTGCAGGATCATGGAAGGTACGACGGCATTCAGAGAGTCCTCTTTGGTGGTGGCTTACGCTTCTGGCTTCATAAATTATTACTCCTAGATTCATTATCCTACTTGTCACATGGGCAATTGAGTCTGAGCCTTAATCGTATGATTTTGGTGGATGTCGATGATATATTCGTCGGTGAAAAGAGTACAAGACTTAAAAAAGATGACGTCCTTGCACTTTTAGCGACACAACAAAGAATTCAAACACTTGTGCCAGGTTTCAAATTCAATTTGGGGTTTTCCGGCAAGTATTTTCATCACGGTACAGCGGAGGAGAATTTAGGGGACGATATGCTACTCGAGAATGTAGACAGGTAGAGAATAAAAAAATGCACCTCCATAAATTTTGATATTGAAGATTTTAGCCTGGTTTCGAAAAAAAAAAAAAAAAAAAAAAATTGGTATATAATCCTCATGTAGTCCTCCCCTGCTTTTACTCCTCATCCAATACATCTCCTCCTCGAGCGTTTAATTAAACTCTTCCCCTACAACTGGTTTCTTCTGCACCCACCCTAGATTTACGTGGTTTTCCCACATGTGGAATCATCAGCAGCCTCATCTCTACGAGAATGTAACACATCTGCAAACGGACATGGCACTTAACAAGCAATTTGCTAAAGAACACGGAATTCCAACAGTTAGTGGTTACAGTGTAAGTCCTCATCATTCTGGAGTTTATCCAGTGCATGAGGGACTGTACGAGGCATGGAAGAGAGTATGGAACATCAAAGTGACGAGTACAGAGGAGTATCCACACCTGAGGCCTGCCAGACTGAGGCGTGGCTTCATTCATCGTAATATTATGGTAAAATATAACAAACTTTTTTCATTATTCTTGCACTAACATAAGCGGTGAACCGATTGCTAGCGAAAAAAATGAAAATTATATAAAGTTTGGTTTCTTACTCTTTTTTGACCAGGTACTACCGCGACAAACTTGCGGCCTATTCACACACACTATTTTTATCGAGAGATATCCAGGCGGGAGAGATAAATTGGACGAGTCTATACAGGGTGGTGAATTATTCCAAACAATTGTTTACAATCCCGTAAGTTGTGGATTAAATTAGGTAAACTGCTGCTGCTGCTGTAAGAATGTTTAATGTTGCCATTTCCTTGCAGATTAATATTTTCATGACGCACATGTCCAATTACGGTAATGATCGTCTTGCGCTCTATACATTCGAATCGGTCATTAAATTCATCCAATGCTGGACAAATTTACGACTCTCGAGTGCGCCACCACTCCAGTTAGGTGAACGATATTTTCAACTGTATCCAGAAGAGGCTGATCCAGTATGGGGTGTACGTATGCGAATATTTTTAATAGCATCCAATTGAGCAGTAGAGCAGAGAGTGATTGAGGAGGTATATAATATATTCAATTGAAAAAATTTTCAACAGAATCCCTGTGACGATCAGCGACACCAAAAAATATGGTCGCGCAATAAGACGTGTGACCAATTACCAAGATTTCTCGTTATTGGACCACAGAAAACTGGTACAACAGCTTTGTATACCTTTTTATCAATTCATCCAGCCATTAGCAGCAATTTACCGAGTCCTGATACCTTTGAGGAAATACAATTTTTCAATGGAAAGAATTATTACAAGGGGCTCGACTGGTAAGGGGGTCGACTGGTTTTAATGATCATTACTAGTATATTATTAAGATTAAGATTGAGATGATTAAGACTCATTAATTGATGACAGGTACATGGGCTTCTTCCCAGCGTCGAAAAACGAGAGTTCTCGCTATCTATTTGAGAAATCGGCGACATATTTTGATGGAGAATTGGTTCCAAGACGAGCGCACGCTCTTCTACCAAAAGCAAAATTAATAACAATACTATTATCACCAGCCAGACGAGCCTATTCTTGGTATCAGCACACAAGAGTACACGGGGATCCGGTGGCGAATAATTACAGCTTTCACGCTGTAATAACAGCAAGCGATACAGCGCCAAAGCCATTAAGGGATCTTCGAAATAGGTGTCTAAATCCGGGCAAATATGCCCAGCACCTAGAAAGATGGCTGTCTTATTATTTACCCCAGCAATTGCACATAATTGATGGTGAACAATTACGTCAGAATCCAATAGAGACGCTTCACGAGCTCCAGAGGTTCCTCAAAATAACACCTGCATTTAATTACTCAACCCATTTGAGGTATGACCCGAAGAAGGGATTCTTCTGTCAAGTCACTAATGAAGATCGGACAAAGTGCCTGGGGAAAAGCAAAGGTAGACAGTATCCACCGATGGAGGACAGATCGTACAAGCTCTTGCAGAGGTACTATCTCTCCCATAACACAGCCCTAGTCAAACTGCTCAAGAGATTGGGATCGAGAACGATACCTCAGTGGTTGAAGGATGATCTCACTGACACAGTCATGACCTAGCAAACGACAATTGGATCAGTAAAATTCACCCTCTCACTGTCAACAATTTCCCAATCATGGAATTGGTCATGGCGGTGACGTTGATCTATTAAGTATTTAACATTCCACTATTGGGCCTATTGATACTCTTGGACGTATCCGTGTTCAAGTGTTCAGGGACAGAGAAAGGGCCTATCCAGTGGAGCGGGAAAAGCCTCTGATGGCTTCCATCGAGCCATAATAATAATATTTAATAAATAAAACCTAGTCGCCAAAATTTTGCACTTTGGACAATTTTTTGATTGAGCGGACTGAGAGCGGAAATGGTAAAACGCATTTTTTGATTTTTTTTTTCCAGAAAATCAAGAAATACATAATTAAGATGAAAATATTAATGACTTGAGTTAACGAATAGTTAACATGTATCCACATTCCCTTTTCAAATGTGAAAAACTTTGTAAAGTGGACAAACTTCTGAATCAACGTAAGATTGTCAATAATCTAGGGGAGAAAAATCTAAATGGACTCGCATTTATTGGTTTACTGGACCAAAAGAGTCGATAAAATAATTCAATTTTTATTATTGTAATCACATCTGTCCAAGGATGAGACAAAATGATGAATTTATGGAAAATGTTTTATCATGAAATGTTTATACACCATTACGAACAAATTACTTTGAACCTGAGCAATTAATACGAGATGGGGGGGGGGGGGGGGGAAGTAGTATTGGGTAAACGTGATAATAAATCCCGTGTATATTTTGACAATATTTCGAGTGAGTTTGCGTCCATTCTTGTACATTAATAGGCGCATATTTTCATGTCAACGCAATGTAAAATGTCATTTTTTATTTAATACTGATTCATTTTGCATTTTTTATTTATGAATAATAAAAGGAAACGTCCATTGTACAGTGAAAAAAAGAAAACTTGTACGTTTCTCTCCACGTGAATTTTCATTTCGCTTAACATATGATAAAATCGATATATGTGTTGGTTGTATCTTGACGAGAAGAAGAAAAAAGAAAAAAAGTTTAAGGGAAAAACATGTACAAAGTTTATTGTTGTCAGTGAGAAACGAGAGCAAAATTTTTTGTTATTCCTCGCTGTCAGACGTGCCATTCAATGCCAGTGTTGTAAATATTGTCAGTCCTATATCAATGAGAAAATGCTCTGAGAATCGTTCGTTAAATCATGGAATCGATCGACAACTTCTGGGGACGATTAACTCCATCGTCTCTTGACAATAAGAAAAATATATATACATATGAAGAAATTTCGAAAAAGCACTTACCAGTGAATCAAAAGATGATCTAAACAACTGAAGAAACGCTTCCCTTCATTATTTAACTTGCGATTGCTCTATTGTAATATATTGTAATAATTGTATGAATATATAAATATTAAGTTGTAATAAAAAAAAATTTTAAAAAAATGAAAAAGCAAATTACAGCGTTTTTTAAAAGCCCTGATCCCCGGATGCCCCCAGGTCGATTTCATACTTGAATCCTGTCACCGAATTCTTCTGATGAAAAATATCCTCCTCTTCTGATTCACTATTCTCCAAACTCTTGAATCTAGGTTCTACCAAGACTTTGACTTGAACATGTTCAATACTCCTTTCTTCACTGATATTCATTGTGCTGAAAGTTCTGTGAAGTTCATGAGTCGTCATAATACTCATTGGAGCATTGTTTTCAAAGTTATCCATGGACCTAATTGTGTGGATGTTTCTTACTTTCCTCAGTTTCAACTCTGCAGAAGTAAGAGAAAATGCGAAAACATAAAAAGAAAAGAAAAAAGTTGAAGAAATATTGAATGGCATCTACCAAACAAAAAAAAAGGAAAGTATAACATATAAAGATATATATTATACCTGGTTGAACCGTCAAAATAGCAGTATTGTGTTGAATATTTGGATCGATTATCCCCCCCTGATTGGACATTTCAAGTCTGGCTACACTGGGTTCGTGCTTGACGGAGCATGAATCTCGACTTGGCTCTGTTCCAGCCTGCATCAAAGAAGCCTGAACATCAGGATAAAACAACCTCTGCACGAGAGATCTGCATGTAAGATAAATCACGAAAATTCTTCTCAAGGATTTTTAATATACCGAAAAAGAAAATTATTCTATTAATAGTCGAGAGTGGAAATTTACCGTGAGTGAGAGTTTTGTGTGGCCATGAGTGCTGCTGCTACTCGCAAATGACTCAAATGTTCAGAGCGATTTCTCAGTAGCCCGCAGCACCCTAGACTCATAAATACAGCCGTCATAATGAGGATAATTGGCCCAATTATGGAGAGCAGGCAAATAATTTGCCATGAAAAATCCAATAACGAGTTTAAAATGTTGAATTCATCATCCGCTTTATTAAAAAATGGAACAACCAATGCCCCAAATAATCCAGATACCAAATGAATGGCAATTGTGTTGCAGTAGTCCTCGACAAAACTACACTGTGCTATGAATTTGATAGTGAAGTAAAAGAGAATTCCATTGATAGCTCCCAGAGTGAGAGCTACATACGGTGGGTAAATGCTCCCACCGGCCGAGACAACAACGGCACCTGCAATCATTCCCTGAATGCACCTCATTACCGTCATCTGATTGAAGGGTTGACGGAGAAAAAAATGAAGTCCTACTGTCACCATAGCACACATAGATATCGACAGAAGATTGTTGATGATGGTCAAGTCGATTTCAACGTCTCTTGTAGTGAAATATACTTCAGAGAGATTGGATATTGTCAAACTCTAGATGAAACGACAACAAGAACAACAACAACAAAAATTCCCTTAATTAATCTTAATTGAGCTTAATTGAATGATTTATTATGCAATGTAAAAGGGAAAACCTGGAGACCAATAAGAATGAAGAAATATCCAACAAATGTGCTAGCGACATTGGCATCGACTCCACTAGTTGTTGCATCAACTTTCCTCCCCAAAATCAAACAGGCAACGAGCCCTACAACACCACCAGTGGCATGGATAAGAGCTCCACCTCCAGTGTCGATAAACCCTGAGGAGTTATTGGCCTCTCTCAGTGGATTGTTAATCATCCAGCCATTGATACTCCAGCCCCAGTGAATGATGAGTGGTTGCAATAACCCTCCGAAGATTATCCCAATGGCTAGAGTGCCAACAGTGTGCATCCTACCAGCAATGCAGTTGGTAAAAATACCAGACGCTACAATGACACTCTGCCACACAGCTAGAACTCTTTCCCTAGCTGTTTTATCATAATCATCATCGTCACCGACGATCCACCTCCAATATCCACCACCTCCAGTGAATCCAACGGTCGAGCCAATAATAATACAACAAATGGTCACCCAGGATATCTCGACGATATTATGCAGAATGATTAGGTTGACATTGCTCACTGCTATATTGCCGACTTGGACTAATAAAAATCCCCCACGTAGTAGGATAATCAAAACAATACGAATTATGACGGACAAGGATGCGAGGTTGGCACTAGATTCATCAGATTCTCTCAATTTTCCTTTCTCACAGGACTCGTCCATCATACCCAACAGCTCTATTTTATTATTATTATCAAGCAAATGTTTCCAACGTCAAACATTTATCCTCGCGGGTGGTTATAAAACTCTTGTCAATAGATATCATGATCATGCTCATGCTCATGCTCATTTGTTTATATCCAGGGACATACCTTATCAGCAATCATCATGCGAGACCCTCGGCTGCTCGGCACTACTTTGATCTCCCCGGCGGTTTCCCTCCACTCACTCACTCACTCACTCACGGGCTCACACGGACACATACCGATACGCGATAACTAAATCACCACGAGGGCTACAAGCCCCACTCACTCCACCAGATTGAGAGAATATTACCGAGAGAACTGAGATACTACACTTCACTGCCGCTCGCCGTCGCCATCATGGCAAATTGGCGCGAAAGCTAACTGCGCGCGCACATGCAGTGCCGTACGCTGCCAATGGCGGATGCGCGTATACTCTTGCGCACGCAATGCCGCCGCCCGCCGCAATGTAGAGATGCGCCAGCGTATCTGCGCCGTGAATAAGTCATTTTTTTTACATTTTATTATCCCGTGTGCCGGTGTCGGTGTCCACACGGGCTCTTGGTTCCTACATTTCGACTGACTCACAGCAGACTCACAGTTGATGGAGAGCAGAGAGCGACCACCGGTCGCATGATAAAGAGACAACAAAGGGGGGACTGAGCAACAACAACAACAGCAACACCAACACCAACAGCAACAAAAACCTCGACATCACTGAAACTGTCAATAATTACAGTTTAATTGTTCAACAACAGGTCGATTGGGGACAGTGTCATTGACTTTGTGTTTAATTTTCCCAGAAAATAATAAGAAACAAACAAGGAAAAAATAAAATATGGCGGCTGCTAGTGTAACGTGTCGAGCCTTGATAGTCGTCAGGATCGAAATGACTCGACCTTTGAGTGTTGCATCCCTGACTGCACCAAGGAGGTATAGGAACGTGAGTGTCATTAATTTGTGTAATTTGTAATGGTATTATTCAGGCATATTATTATATCATGCTGGCAAATGTTTCAGTGTGCTTCTCTTTTTTTCCTTTCATTTTTCTTTTTCCCACTCTGCTATTGGCCAGACCAGTCAACCCGGGTGCTCTGTTATGAATGGTGAGCCTATGGGAGTGTTACAAGCCACCAGCGGTGAGCTGATGGATTTTAAATTTTAGTCCATTTAGATTCTTTGATTCTCTCATCGTTGAGGTATTGACGAGTGAATGTATCGGCAAGGTTGCATGTTTTATTCATAAAAATAAAAATTGATCACTTTTTATATGAATAAACAAAAAAAAAACCTGCCCTCGACCAGCCAGTCATTCAATTGAATTCAGCAGTCAATTTTCACAATGAGTTTGAAAATTCAACTGGTCATTGAAATTTCAATCATTCCCAAAGTTTACGAGCAATTTATGTAAGATGATTTGTTATCATCGCTCCACGTGTTACTTGTATAATTTATCTTCGAGAGAGTTTATGTCATGTCGCGCGATTAATTAGTGACATTAAGAGACTTATCGAGTCGACCGATAGAGACTTCACTCTGCTTTCTGTGCGCGGAGTCAAGTAGCGCACGTATGTGGGCTGACAAACTGGCTTTTTAAGTATTCGGGGAATTAAAAAAGAAACGCGCTTGTCCATTTTTCCATTTTTTTTTACTTGATATCTCATTCACCAGACCGTTGATCCCAAAACGTAATAACTTTGCCGACACGCCACTGCAGGTGTTTTTAATAGTCGTATCGTGAGCATTGTGCTGTTTCTTCCTTTTATTCAGACATTATTCATTATTCAAATGGATGTATCGCCATATCATGATTGGATTCAGACGAGATACGGACTTCTAGCTGGCAGAGACAATGTTGCCATAATTAATAATGAGTTTTACGATTATGTTTTTCCGACAATGGAATCAAAAGCAAGAGGTGAGCATTAGTCAACTAACCAGACAGGAAATTGTGGTGATGACGTTAACAACATCTTCACGTGATAAGGGAATTGATGAGTTTGAATTTTTAATCTTATCGTAGAAATTACCTGCCTAAAAAAGGCTATTATATATCGACTTACTAATTGGTCTTGTCTATTTTTTGTCTCATATGTCAGAGATTATTTTCGGACAGTCTGAATACTTGAAGATTTTATTTTAAAATCATCTCTCACACAGTGAAGGAAAAGTAAATATATATCTACCGGAGACTGACGAGACAACAGGGGACGGACAGTGTTGTAAAATACAAGTAATGCTCACGACGTCGCTATTACCGCTGAGCAGAAGTAAAACGTATTTGTTGAATTTTTTGTTATCCTCATGGTAAAAAATGGATATAACATCTCTATTGCTAGTGGGGCCTCATGAACAAAGCGTATTGTGGCAATGACTGAGTTGGTTGGTTCAATACTTGAACAATTTTTTTCAACACTCTCTCAAGTCACTGCACTTAACAATCCTGTTTACTTTTAATAGGATTGATGTAAAATTAACTCCAGTGTCTACTTTTGTGGAAGGGAAGAGAAAAAAGAAAACAGAAAATAGGTATAACATTGAATTTGCCATTTAGCTGGGGTGTAACGGCAGGCACTCTTTGTTCACATCCATGAACTTTATGAGTTATCCAGGGGTAGTAGGGGCTGAGACTGGGTGATGCTGCAACGGGCGCCACGTGCATCGATCTGCCGAGATTATCCCCTCCTGTCTCACTCCTGCGGCCTGTTCTCAAAGTGTAACACTCAAAAGCTAAGGAAATTTCTGCCTTAACTAAACCAAATATATTTTTTCCTTGGACACTGATAATAAAGTATTGGAGGAAAGTTGTTAGTTGATTTGGGACGCGACCTTTGTGCTAGTGCCCCAGTTTACGCGTGGCCTATGGAGAGAGAGAGTGAGAGAGAGAGAGA